TGGGTCTGAATCTGATTCACAGAGAACTCTGTAAGTTCTCTCTCTCAATCTTACTGTTGGTTTGTAGCTATATGTGTAAGAGAACTAGGGCCTGTTGTTGTTGTTGTTTGGTATTCTCCTTTTAAATTTTTTGTGGGTTTCGGAAATTTTCGATAGATACCCATATGTGACGGGGACATCAGTGGTGGCTTTGAAGTACAAAGATGGGATTCTGATTGCTGCTGATATGGGAGGTCAGTGTTCGCACATTCATTAATCTCCCTAGTGTTCCTTTTGTTTTTCCTTTGGCTGTATTAGTATGTAATTGGAAGAATAGAAATTTGGGTCTTTTATGATGGTTGTTCATTTCAAAGATGGAATCTTAACTTTACATCCTAGTTGGTCTCTTCAGTTGGATTGTAATGTTTTTGAGATTATCGCTTTTTTCTTTCAATATTCATTCATTTGTTGAGTGCCATCTAAATCTTGTTACTGTTTGTTTTGACCTTGTTGATTATAAGTTTTGTGGATTTAGCGACCCCAAGTTTTGTGAAAATGCCACCGTAGTTCAAGTTGTGTGAATAAGCTTGCTGATAATTGCTAGTTTTTATTCCTTAATCAGTTTTTACTAGGAGATAATGTCAAGAACAACGATTGAGGTGATGCTTAATTGTCATTATGTCCCTAAATAATCAGTCTTGGTTTCATGTTAGAAGATAGAATGTGCTTATGTTGTATGTCTCTAATGTGTTCATCGAGCAAAGAAGTTGAGACTAGCAGTTTGAGAAAAACAATATTTTCTTTACTGACTCAGCCAGCTGCAACCTCAACTCGAGCTCCAACAGTTGGCACTTGCGTGGATCAAGCTGTGAGGCTGGCTACTGAGCTTGTCAGGAAAAGAGCTGAGGATGTGTCTGGGGCACAGAAGAGGCGCAGGCTGGAGGAGCAGCAGCAGCAGGATGCTCCTCAGTTTGTACCTCGTCCTCCCCCAGTGGTTGTTGATCTTGCTGTTAGGGAGGTTGGAGTTGTAACACATGTGAGGGGAAAAAACTTCCCAACTTGAGTCCAGCGTCCAGAGGGTAATAGCTTCGCAACCTCTTCCAGCAGAACTGCTGCAAGGCATTTCATTGATGCCACATTTCCTGAAATGGATCTAATTCGGGCAAGGGACAAGGTAGATCTCCATGGAGGAGACGGGGTAGTTCGCCACATCCTTGAGGTAAGGAGTTCGTTGGTATAAGTTTCTAACTTCAGCTTTTTTTTCTTTTTTTTTTTAACTTCGGTAATTTATGTAGGGAGCCAATCTTGTTAATGTTTTGGCAAACAACCACCTGGACTCCCTAAAGGAAAGAAATAAATTGATGAAAGAGAAAGACGAGCTTGGCAAGCAGAAGGAGGATGCCGAGAAAAATGTGGAAAGCTTAACCTC